AGTTATATATGGTTGGTATAGCTGGTCTATTTTGTAGACTATTTAAAAAACTCCTTTCTAGTGAAAWTAAAACGGAAACTTTTTAATAAAATGTTTGGAAAGAATAAAACGCTTATATAAGATGATTTTGCTATGCAGGATGGTAAAAAAAGGATCTTATATTMTAACAACGAGTTATAATACATATCAGGAGGAGTAAAAATTCTTCAGTTATCTACTTGTTCCGACAAAGGACGGAAAACAGCGAAAATAACAAATAGCTGGACGTTTTAATTACTCTTTACAATTCTTTTAAATGTTTGAAAAAATCTTTGATGGAAAAGGTTGAATTATTGGAGGCAAAAAAGTTAAAAGTTTAATGATTTTTTTAATGTCAATTTTTACAAGATTATTGTAGAACATAAGAAAACGTTTTTAATCGGCTTCCTCACTACACCATTCAGATTATTTATTCTCAATTTATTATGATCAATTTTAGCATTTTTAGTATATCAACTTAATTTTAATTATAACGGAAGAATATTTTTCTTTTATTAGCAATATTATATTCGTTATACCCATGAAACCATTAAAAATAATATGAACAGCGAATAATAAATGAAATTCAAATTACTTTTGTAATTATAATAAAGTGTAAATTTTTTTTTTTTTAATATTTTTTTTCGATCAGGTCATTAGATCGAATTTAAAAACCGAAGTTCTAGATTACAATATAAATTTCTTTCAAATAAATAACAAAAAAATTTTAGATATATTAAATAATCTATTATACGCTGCTAAAATTAATAATTGTTTAGAAGAAAATACATTTTTTTAACGTTTCTGCTAAAAGAAGTTCTACTACAAGAAATATTCTTCAATTGAAGAAACTATAAGTCCTTGATATAAAAAACTAATCTGAATGGAAAACTTCAATATTACCAGAAGGTTCAATGAATTAGATAAGATAAAAGATTTTGTGACATCACTAATGACGCTCATAATCGTTATTTTAATATTATTTATTAAAATGGAATAGGCAGTTATTATAGGAAGGATACATTATAAAAACACCCCTAGAAATGCAATCAATCAATGATTGTCTTTCGCTTAGGTTGTGTATTAACTTTATAACTAGTGCACTAAATTCTTTCACATTCGTCTTATA